ACTATAGATTCCCATCTTAACACCCGTGATCATTTTTCCCGACATTAAAGAAGAATTGATTGCAACCATTCTTGTCCAAACACTTGCCAATTTACGTAACAATGAAATAGAAATGCATAAACTGTTTGCAACCAGGATGAAATAGATTAATTTTCTGATGAATATATTGCCTATACTGCACACCCTTTCAACTCTAGAAAATTTGCTTTTCTACTGAAGGAGGACCAGCTTGAAATAGCACCCACTAAAGTGGCAAGTCAGGTGATTCCTCTATATTTAGAACACAACAGAGTTCTCTGCAAGATGCGTCACTAAGCACTTGAGTCAAAAGGACATGCATTACCTAGATGAGAAGGTGGAGAAAGTTTAATATCATCAGTCAATTGAGCTGGTCGATGAAATCTAGAAATCTACTAAAGAAATCCCCAGCCATAGTTAGAGTACAATAAAATATGAAAGAGATTATAATTTCTTGCTCCCAATTTGTTGCAGAAAGAGGTTCATACTCCCTTGAAATAGGAGAATGATGAGCTATTGGGTTTGCTTTGTTCTTTCTCTTGGTGACTTAACTACCTCTGAAGGTCTCAGATTTTTTGTCGAGCTTATTTTCTTGTATAATGCATCCTCAACAGATGGTGTCGTACAATGGAAGCAGTATCATACTGCATGTACTATTATCTTTTTCTTGAGAATTGTTGGAGCTGGAACAAAGATAAATATGTACTGAGCAAGCTTGTTCACATCCAATGTTCTACACAAATCCAAGTAAAAGAATTCAGAAATCTATTGTAAGCGAGCACTTCAGTCTTGCCACTAAGCCTAAAATATAAATTCGCCGTATCTTTCCCATTATATCTCTTTTCTCTCAATAAACCTGTTTATCGCAAAAGTACTTTGATTGCCACGCTATTCAGGAATAATATTTGGGAGGATCAGCTATACACTTGGAATTCAACATAAGATCATTCCGTCGAGAATAATGTTCACAAGAGTCCTTCAGCAATATGAAACACCTCAAACATACTGGAGTAAGGTACAAAATTAGAGACATTCTTCTGTACGACTAAACCTAGGAAAGATAAGCATTTCCATAAGTGTATATTAATGGACCCAACAGGGTATATGAATGATCATCAATGTTATAACATAAAGGTGAGATTTTTGCTACAACTCCGCAATAGTACCACAAATACTACAGTACTTGACAACATATTCCAATTAAGTCAATGGGAAAATAAAAGGGTATAACATAAAAATTCAATCAAAAACTTATATTGACGACATATTTAAGATCTAACATATGATTATTCAAGAATCAAACCCCATAATGATCAAAACTTAAAACCTTGGGAATTTGCCTAATGGGTATCGAGAAAAATCATATTTTTGAAAAAGGGTGTCAAGAAAAAGTTGAAGAAACCATGGAAAACAAACCTTGCGATTGATGAAAGTGAACTGAGAAGAACATCCTTGGCAATGAGAAGCATCAACTACCCAATTATTCCCTCTGAGTGATGGTTTTGAAGGTAAACCGATCTTCTCCAACATTTTCTTCAATCTGTTACTTTCGAAGTAAAGAAAAAGTAAACCTCAAATAGGAAGAAGAATCCTTCGCTGATTCACTTTTTCTGAAATCTTGTTAAAAACGCCGAGTGGAGCGAACCGAACGACGACGTTTACGTGATGTTTCGGCGAAAGTAAGGAAATGAAAAAAAATCAAATACCTAAGAAGAATTGTTTATTTATTTATATCTATTAAATAGTTTTAATACCTAAGAAGAAATTGCTATCCTTCTAATTTCTATTAGAGCCGTCAATATGGGCTAGGCCTGTTGGGCCGGCCTGGCCTAACCCGGGATTTAATAGGGCTGGGCTAAAAATTTTGGAGCCCATTTAAAAAAAGGGCTTTTTAGCCCGGCCTGAATAAGCCTGCTGATTTGTGGGGCTTGAGAAATATAGGTAGGGCCGGCCCGTGGGCTAATACAAATTAATTAAAAAATATAATATAATATTAAAATTTAAAATTAAAGAGATCCAAATTCAAAATCTATTTAAAGTTTTTTAGGAAATCACTAAGTATAGAAGTTGCATCCACCATGAAAATGTCCAAACCCTTGTTGCTACTCGAAACTGGTTACATGGTTTTTCTCAAACTTGTAATATATTTTTGTGTACATTTAAATATTATAATTCTCAATTTAGTTATTTTTTAATATTTAACTAATTGAAACCGCATGTAAATTGCATATGAAAATGAAGATGTTAAGACAACCTTCCCACAAGTTGATTCAGATATGCTTGATGAAGATGATCATGGAGTGTTAGATACGCCATAGGTTTCATGAAGTGTTAGATACGCCATAAGTTTCATGATTCTTTAAGAAGTTTATTTTTTACATTTTTATGGTTGGAATATTGTCATATTTTTTGTGTTTTATTGTGATCATTGCAAAACAGTTAGGTTAATATTTCTATTTAGATATTTATACTTTGATTTGAAAAACCTTAATAAATATTATAAAGATAATTTTATTTGTGGATTTGATTAACAAGTAGTAACATTAACACCATGTAATTGGCCCACACCATAAATGGGCTAGCCTGGCCTGGCCCGTAAAATGTCAAAGCCTGTATGGGTTAGCCCGGATGGGGTGGGCTAGCCCATATTGACAGCTCTAATTTCTATGTTGATACTTTTTTCACTTAATTCTCAAATATTAGTGTTTTGTCAAGCTTAATTCAGTTCAAAATATTAACGTTTTAGAAAAAATAATATTTGTAATAGCTTTCTAACTGAATTCTTACTGTTCTAATTAATAAAGTGTTAAAAAGCAAAAAATTAGAAGGAGATAAAGAATAATTTTAGACAAATTCTAATGGTTAAGCTATTAAACCAAACGATTATATATATATATATTGAAAATATGAAGAAAAATATACAGCACTTTATGTGTCTAATAGTAACAATATGTTATCTTGATATGTCTATTTCTAGATTTAATAACCTAACAAAATTATATGACTAATAATTATGAATTAGATATTGTGTGTGAAGCTTCACAAATGCATCTCTTCAATACTACTCTTTATACAGTGAATTAGTTAGAAACTTCAATTGCTTTTCTTTCGCACAATAATTTCTTTTTCCACAACACTAACCTCTTTTTTATATACACACTACATCGTATAGACCACATAAGAAAGAAAAAAAATCTTATTTATATAGAAAAAGATAAAGTATAATTAGTTATACATAATAATGAAGGTATTGATAGAAATTTTACTCCTCACACGTTATGATCTTATGTTATCTCAATTTTTATGATATTTTGATAAATATGCCAATTTTTATAGGAATCAGCCTATAACAACATCGTTGCACATAATTATATGAAATCTTAAAAGGAATTGGCATGCAAAAACTTGGACCAAACTTCTCGTGAATTTATCACTCTATTTTGGGAACGGTTACATCTGGCCCAATTTTATCCTAAGGGCCTTGGCCCATTCATTTGCAAAACCGGAATCTTTTATGGACAAATTACAGAAATCACATAATTTTAAGGTAAAATTACAATTTATCCCTTAAAAGTTTATAATTACATAAATCCCTCAAACGGATACAATAATATAAGCGTTGATACATTAATCTGATGCACGAGATACATTAATCGTTAAGTAAGATACATTACATTTTATACATGATACACTAATCTGATGCGCAAGATACACTAATCTGATGCGTTGATACATTAATCTGATGCGCGAGATACACTAATCTGATGCGTTGATACATTAATCTGATGCGCGAGATACACTAATCTGATGCGTTGATACATTAATCTGATGCGCGAGATACACTAATCTGATGCGTTGATACATTAATCTGATGCGCGAGATACACTAATCTGATGCGTTGATACATTAATCTGATGCGCGAGATACACTAATCTGATGCGTTGATACATTAATCTGATGCGCGAGATACACTAATCTGATGCGTTGATACATTAATCTGATGCGCGAGATACACTAATCTGATGCGTTGATACATTAATCTGATGCGCGAGATACACTAATCTGATGCGTTGATACATTAATCTGATGCGCGAGATACACTAATCTGATGCGTTGATACATTAATCTGATGCGCGAGATACACTAATCTGATGCGTTGATACATTAATCTGATGCGCGAGATACACTAATCTGATGCGTGAAAATGAGGGATTTTGGAGATTTGTAAAACTTATAGGGGATAATGGTAATAAGTAAACTAAAAGGTGGGATTTTTGTAATTAATCCATCTTTTATTTCTTTTTTCTTTTTTTCTCCTTTACCACTTCTCATTGTGGAAAAAATACATAATGCTATAACAGGGAAGGAATTTGGTTAGACAAATTCTACCAGGATTGCATATGAATACTATGCAAAGTGCAAAGATTATAATACGGTTCTCTAATAATCACTAAATTATCATGTTTGTCATAAAATATTTGGATTATTCCATTAAAATTTATGTATGTTGTGTATCATTTAAACGTAGTCTGATTTTAATAGGATAAAGCGAGATTTAGATTAATTAATAAAGGAAGCAGTATGAAATGTAGCAGCATTTTGATCTAAAAATTACTTATCCGTACACATAATAATAATAGTAAAATATAATTATATCCGCATAATAAATGTCTATAGTATCTTTGTAGTGGAATACATTGTATTGGTGCACGTACAAGAAATACATTTTACTCACATGCTTAATGAATGTATCCACATGTAAACAACTTTCACACCTAACTGTAGTCGTACAAATAATAAATATATTTATGTGTATTTGCTAGAAAATCTCAAATTATAGCTACTACTATCTTTTTAAACTAGCAGTGTCACTTGATTTTTGATGATACGAAAAGGCTTTTCACTTTGTTGACTCATAAATGCACACGGAGTCCGATAGCCTGAGAATTGCGTCTAAAAAGAGAATCACAATTATCAAAGATGTTTGTTGTTGGAAACTTCTAAAGCCAAAACCAAGATGATTAATTTCAAGGATGTTTGCTTCTCTTAGGGTTTGATTTTTGAAGTTCCCTAGCTTTTCATTTAATACCCCTCCCCTTCTCCATCATGTCCTGTTGAAAATATAACCACTTCTTTCTTTTTTATTAAAAAAATTCTCAAAGCTAAGATCGAAACCCTTTTGGGTACCAAACTACCAATTAATCATTATCATCTTATATTTCATGTTTGTATTTGCTTCTTTAACGTAACATAGCAGCAACTTGTTTTGTTTACCTCTTGACTCGACGAAGCTCTTAGATCCAACAATGTTTTAGATTATTATTTTTTTATATGCAGAAACCCGCATGACATGGTTTCATTTTAGGGAAAATTGTATGAAATATCAAATCATTAATTCAAATTAAATGTTATAGCCATAGTTTATTTTATTTGTAATTCGCAGCAAACATCTCGTTTTTTGCCATCTGATTCGGTATACAATTAGTCATTTTCGGTATACAATTAGCAATTTTATACATTTCGGTATAAAATGTATAAAATGCGTTTGTGTTTGTATAAAGCGAGAGAAAAATGTATATACAAATGCAAATACATATATTTTCGTCTTATTCACTTATAATTATACAAATGCATATCTTATTATACAAATTACAATGTATAAATGAATTTATACAAAACTGAACAATTTATATAAAATTAGATGTATATAGCTAATTATACAAATAAAAAACTCCATAGCAAACATAAAATTTTCTATGGAGCGTAATTATGCAAACTATAGTTATAACATACAAATATAATTTTTATGTTTGCTATATATGAAAGTTGCTCATAATTTTATCCTTGAGAAACTTTTTAAAGTGTACAAATGTTATACAATATATTTACGGTTGCATGTTTCAAATATACATATGCTATGACATGCTTAACCCTACACATTTTTAAAGTCTTTATTTTCTTCTTAAAATGGCAACACACCGAGCAACTCTTTTCTTATTAGAAAATTAAGTCCAGTTTTACTCCTAATAAAATAAATTTGTGGCCATAGCTTACAAGTTACAACCAACTTTTCTCGAATGTTCATCTTTATAATGTTACAACTACAATGGGGAGATGAAGAAGAGTTCTGGTGACATTTTTTTCCATCAGTTGTTAATTATGAAGAAATTAAACTTGGTGCAATATTTTACTCTATTTACTGCAGCCCAGGAAGAAAAATATTGTCTAGGTGTTCCTGTTGCTCGGATCTCTCCTATGTGATGTTGTCTAGATCAAGAGCCATAGTTATAATTTTTTATTTATTTCTTCTTGTTGATATACACGTGTTCGAAGGAAATTTATGCCCCAGATTACAAAAATGGAACTTTCCATACACCTAAAAACTATAACACCTAAGTAATTAACAATATTGAAATTAAAGCATAGTGTTAGCGAGCCCCACAATTGTTGTGCTTGTAACGAGCCGCATTAGTCGCTGGGAGATTCTGTATTAGAAAAAGTCTTGGCTCACTACTCTGTGTGAAATTATTCTTTAGAAACATCCATCAAATATATTATTAATATACTTCTCTGGCTCCAAGATTAGACAAAGACAAAAATCTTATACTTAGATAACT